CATGGTAATAGATCTATTAATTTATATTATCATATCATATAAAATATTATATTTATATTATATTTTATATAAAAATTATTTATTATAATTTATAATGATATAAAAATATAAAATATAATTTTTGATATTATTAAATTTATTTATAATTTTTAAAAAATTTTAAATTATATTATTTTTAAATTTTTTATTTATATCATATCATCATGTCATGTTTTAAATTATCAAATTTATATGATAATTAATGTAATATATATTTTTTAAAATTTAAGATAAATAAATTATTTAATTTTTAAATCAAGATAAAATATATCATATTAAAAATTTTAAAATAAGTACAATTAAAAGAGATATTTTTAATAAATGATTACTAATTAAATTCAAACTCAAAACATTTACATTAAAAAAATAATTTTTACCAAATAAACTAATCACTTATTAAAATAAAAAAAACTATAATAATTTGTTTCATCTATAGGTGTCCGTGGAATAGGATCAATCGTTTGATTGGGTTTCATTCTATTCGTTCATTTGAATTTGGTTAAATTTGTTTATTATTATTTTATTTAATATTTAAATTTAAATTTAAATAAAAAACAAAAATTTATTAATAAAATAATAATTTATGTAGAATAAAATTTATCGGCGAGTTTGATGGATGGTTTGATCATGGTAGATAAAAATAATAAAAGGGAATTTGTACTCTAAATGTTTTCCAACGATCAACTATCAAGTTATTAGTATTTTATAAGCGAATAGATAGATAAAATAATAAAAAAGAGAAATAAAAGCAAAAAATTAAATTTTTTACAAAAATTAACTTATTTATAGATATAAGGTAACAAAATTTTCATGATATCATTGGAATAATTTCTATACATAAAAATACTAGATTTTAGAATAAATTTTATTCATTTATTATAATACGAGAATCTTATTATTTATTAATCATGCATCAAACTCGATTATAAAAAAAAAAAATTATGAATGCATCATATGAATATAAAAAAATTGAGAAAAAAAAGGTTTACACAAATTTAAGGAATTTTCAAGTTTATGAATTATTATATTTAAAAAATTTGTTAATTATCCTTCCAATGAATCTAAAGATTAGCATTTAGCAATATTATTAATAAAAAAGAAGCATGCATTTTCATCAAGATGTCTCCTAAATGGAACCCATGACCATGCACTATTAAAGCTGGTCACGAATATATGATAATCAGGTTAACCAATATTCCTGGGGATAATATATAGTTTTTTTTTTCATTAAACGTTATTATTCGCCTTTTCAAACTGCAATTCAATGATTATTTCATGTTCCTTTATTAAAAAATTCTTTTGGAGTTCTCAGATTCTCATGTCAGAGGAAATCATTTTTGGAAAAAAAAAAAAACAATTGTATTTTATTGCAAGAATAGGGGCCTCGAAGGCAATAAAAAAATATTTATTTGTACTAATCTCACGTAAGCCTTATAATAAACAAATCCATCTCACATGCACTAATCCCACTTAATTAGTAAAGTTCGTGTCAGCATGATTAAACATCGAATATAACCTAATCGAGCTCAGTCATGCATGAAAAGAAAAGCAATAGAGTAGTTCAATTTTTATTTTTTAATATAAAAATTATAATTTAAAAATAAAAAAATAATTATAGATATTAAAATTTAAATATTAAATTTATTAAAAACAAATTAATTTAATTTTTAATTAATTTTAATGTAAAATGATTTTGAATTCAAATTTTATGGATAATATCTTGATGATGCTAATCTCAAATGCACAAGCCTTATGAGAGGACATATTTTGTTTTGTTTTGAAAGACTTAAGGAGAGGAATAGGATGATGGATGCCTAATTGCCTAGGCAAGTGGAATGTGCTCTATGCCTTTTATCTCAAGTGGCCCCTAGGTAGAATTTTGAGTGACGGATGTGAACAAAACAATGCCTGAAATTTGGGCATGTTAATCTGAAAAAAAAAAAGTTAATTGGGGTTGATTTTTTTTTTTTTTTGAGTCATGTGCTTGGACAACCTTTAATCATTGAACATCATGAAGGCAATATGAAACTTCTGACAACTAACAGCAGCATGTCCCCAAAAGTAGTTGTATGATAGCTATCTTCAATCTAACTGTTTTTTTTTATTCCAAGTATCTGCCAATGTTTCTCAGCTTCTTGGCCTCTTTCTTTCCCTCATTGAGTGGTTGGCTTGTTGGCAAGTTTAAGGATCTGCTGATAATATAGTAAAGCTTTCCAGTTAATGAATTAATATCTTATGATAGAACAATTTGCCGAATATACGAATTTATTTTTATTAATAATATATCAAATATAAATTTAATAGAGTTTAATGTTTATAGAAAAGTCGAGAAGCATTGTTTGATGATAAAGTGCGACATGAATAGCTTAAACAGATATAAAAAAATGGATGAGTATGAATCAGCTGGCAAAGGAGTTGGCCTGATTGATGGTGGCATCCGAGAATGATTATCGCCATACCTAACGGGGTGATTGGGGCCAGTTATAAAATTATCTACCTGTTCTTTGCCAAAAAGAAAATCCAAAGTCAGCTGTTTTGTTCATTATATATGTCCGATTAATAATAGTTGAAGTAGCTGAAGTAATTGATCTTTATGCACAGCAATAATTTTGTCTAAATATTGATAGGATCTTCTGGTTTGGCCATTTACTAACTTTGCAATGGAAGCCCCAGCACCACCAAAATCAGGTGCATGTGAGAATGAATGATTTTTCATGGCACAAAGACGTTTTGGTTTGGGAGATCAATGGGTTCCATTTCCAGCAATGACTGGATCTGGGATTCTCATTACCCGTAATTCGAGATAAAAAAGAATTTATCATTATGAATGATTTTTAAATTATAATGAAATATTTAATGTAGTACTTAAATTTTAAAAATTTATAATATAATATTTAAATTATACATTTATTAATTAATACATTATTTAAGAGTTATTTATCCACCATATATTATCATTTAAAATTAATCACATTAAAAATAAATACTATAATAATTAATAATTTTATTATTTAGGTATCATACTAAAAATTTTTAAAATTAATGTACCATATTAAACATTAATCCATGAGGAAAAGAGTTGCAGCAAACTTAATGAATGTTTGGCTGCATGAACCATGAGCTCTGAGTTAAAAAAAAGAAAACTGGATTCAGGCAATTTTAAGCTTTGGGTTTGGCTTATTGGGTTGTCCGGTTGAAAAGAAATAAACAAATTAAACTAGCTATTAGAGACAAGACAATGAGACATGTTAAAGGCGTATTAATATGTTCCCTTTTGTGCATGAATGTGACAGCTTAGCCAACTTGATTTAAAATTTGGTTGATTTCCATGTCCAAGGGCCGATCAGTTGAATGTTTGTGTTTCCCCTTTCTTTCTGTTTTGGTCAGTTTTCACATTTATTAATGATAGGAAAGGAAATGTTTGAGGAATGGGAAATTGCTGCTTTGGGGTCATTGGCTGCGCAACGGTCCGATTTGATTTAATTTTTTTAAAAATAATATATAATATAATAAATTTTTTTAAATTTAATCTAAATTTAAATTAATTTTTTTAAAATCGATTTAATGCGAATTAAATTTTATCGATTAAATTTATTGATTTTAAAATTTAAATTTTTTATTTTTATATATTATTTTAATAGAGTTTTTAATATATTTAAATATATTTAAATATAAAATAATTATTTTTATTTTATAAAAATTTAAATTAAATATAAAAATTAATAAAAATATATAATTCGATTGGATTTAATTTTTTATATATTTTACATTTCGATTTAAAATTTAATCTAAACTTAATATATATTTAATATTAAACTTTAATCCAAACCGAAAAAAAAAAAAAGATTTGAATTGAACCAAATACTACAATTTCAAATTAATTTTTAATTTTTAAAATTTTTTTTTCTCACCCTCATCTAGGCCAGGCATCATCCTTCCTCGTCCTTAAAATCTTCATTGTTCAAAGGCTTGATATGAATGATTGAGTCATGTTACTTTTCAATAATTTGTCTTAAATATTTGGTATTTTTTATATGACATATATACTTTATTAATTCATAAATGGGATATTAAAATCAAATCTTAAGACAAAATGTCAGCTAAAAGTGTTGAAAGTTGATACAAATAATATTTTTCAATATATATATTCTCTTATGTAAATTTAATTTTATAAAAAAAAATTTACCGTAAAATAAACATAAATTTATACGTATTGAATTTGAATATTACGATTACTTTAAAAGATCACAACAAATTACTAAAATAAAAAATGCTAAAATCTCTAAATTTTTTGAATTAATAGGTGAGAATATGAATAAGAAAAAGTAATACTCATGTTCTAAACCCAAACTCTTGTTACTCAAAGTAATTAAATTGATCAATTTTCAATAAAAAAAAAAAACAAATGGAATGACAAAATTGACTATACATTCTTCATAGGATTGACCACTTGGGTTTTGGGCTCAAAAGTCTGGTGTGCTGCATGTGGAACAAAGTCAAGCTTTTGGGAAATCACATTGGCGAAAGGTCACTTTTCAAGAACTCTCAATAGAATGTCATAGCCAGGACTAAACCCAAGAGCCTACGACTGGGGGAAAGGTGAGAAACGGGATGACCCTTAAACTTTCAAGAGCCCAAGGCCAATTTCCAGGGCCACTTTAGACAGAATGGCTATCATGGTCCAGTGGGTTAGGCATGTGGCCCATCTTAATCCGAATACGATAACTAGAAAAAAGATAAAACAAGCTTAATCTAACTTTTAAATTAAAAAAATTATCAAAGACACTAATAATAAAATTTCTTAATTCTATAAATAAGATTAAGATAATGACACATCTCTTAGTATATATTTAAAAAATAAAAAAACTAATTTGAAAAATATATATTTATATCGCCATTTCAATCTCATTTTAATCTCGTAGAGTTAAAAAGCTTAAAAACTATAATATTAGTGTATCAAATATATATTTTTTTAAAATTAATCACTTCAAATTCTTAAAAGTTATTCCTACTATACTCATCTTTATTAATGCTCGGCATAAATCTACTCATACAAATGAAGCAATCACCCAAAAAAAAAAAAAAAAAGAAAGTGAAACTGCATCTACAAATAGTTTACAATCCCTCTGTAGAGGGGAAAAAACCCTTCCAAAGCTCTAAATATCCTGTAAAATAACTAAGGTTGGTATGGTCTGACAAAGCCAGCAATCATAACCCCTGACCCAACTCAGTGTTTTGTAAACATCCCATGCGTCAGTGACGAAAAATCATAATCCTTGCCTGAAGAATTCGTTGATGAAACCGGCGAAGCTGATTGCGGTTTGCTTGCTCCGGTGGTCGCAACACCATTTGCTGGGGTAACTTGCCCCGTTTCATAAAAGCTGCAAGAAATGAGACAGCAAACATTAGGAGCATGGAGCAACTTATGGGTGAAATTTATAATCTATTGAACAGTTATTTATCATAACACATCATTGTCACAGGATCAGGATTCTCAGAATGTAATTAGAAACTTTATAGCGCATTTAAAACCAGCCGGAGAATAATTGAATTGCACAACCAATCTAAAACTCATGGCAAAGTAGACAGTATTAGAGAAGCAAAGCATAGACAAAGACAGAAAAGAGCTTTGACAAAATCAAGAATAAACAGATTAAAAATGTACCTGGAAGAGGGATATGCAACTGAGTTTCCCACTTGTGGTGTCTGTCCCATTTTCATAGTCTAGTTCAGCAGAAAAAGGAGTGAAAAAATGAGAAACTTCCTAGATATATTTCTTTAAAAGCAGTACCATTGCAACTATAGTATGGAGTCTACCTGCAAAAATTTCTGCAGATCAGCTTGCCCAGCAACTGGCATCATCATTCCAGGGATTTGATAGCCAACGTTTGGCCAAGTTTGAGCCGGTATGCTTGTGACATTGGACGGAGGCTGTTGAGAATTCCCAGGAGCAGATTTAGCAGAAGCAGCCATGAGAAGGGACTGTTGCTGTGCTAGCATAGCTAGTTGCTGCTGATGCATTGCAAATGGTGACAACATATTGGACTGCAATCGATTGAAACCATGATATCAACAATGTAATACCCCCACCGAAGTAAAAAAATGATCTACAGATGCATATTGATGTTTATCAAGAAACATGCAATAACGTAAGGAATTATCTCCAACCAGAAAATGATCAAGTAATGTAAGTTTTACACCAATCCTAAGAAAGCAAGTAAATGATGTTGAAGTTGTACCTTTTCAAAAAGACTCATAATATCATTTTTAACATCTTTTTGGGGCTTCTCTGGGACTTTGTTGATTGGTAATGAAGACGAATCATTAAATAAATCCTCAATTCCAGTAGCAGACTGGGTATTCTTCTCAGCAGCTTTTGCTGGATCGGTACTGTCAATTGTGGAAACTTCTCCAGCAGCTGCAAATTATCATGTGTAAGAATCAATGTCAATAATAAAACGATACAACCACAACTCTCAATTCCCAGCTGGTTGGCAGTTGGTAGAAAGCATGTTAACAAGATACTAAAAATAAAATGCAAGTTGATGCCTACAAACAAGAATTGTAGGGAAATTTTTGGACATACACTGGAAACCTGCCCAATTATTATCATCAGTAGAAGCTGTTCCTGAACCATTTTCACTTGGACCATCATCCATGGACAGCATATTGAAAAGGTCTGTAGCATAATCGAATTTAGGGGGTGTGACAGTGGGAGAAGTCTCTACGGCGGGTTTTTTTGCCTCAGCTGGCACAACAACTGGTTCTGTTTTCTGAACAACCGGTTCAGGCTTCTGGATGGGTGTAACCTGTTAGATCAGCACATTATGCATTATGAAAGTACATTTTTTTGAGAACACATAAATAAAAGAGGTAAACTACTCAAAAGAAATATGATACAAAGCAAAGAAAGAAAGCATGTTGAACCACGCAGAAAACAAATTCAAGACCTTAGTTATAATTGATACCATTTATTTGCAACTTTAGCAAGCGACAAGCCATCTTTTCTTATGGCAATTTTCCCTTACTTTTTTGTTCTAATTCTAATAGCTCTCAGGTTATTGACATAAAATACATTTAAGAAAAAATGAATGGACTGGTTTTCTAGAAAGAGTTAAGAACCAAAGCGCATAACCAGCAAAAGAACTTAATACCTGATCAGGTCCCTTAGGAGGAAGTGGAAGACTAACTCTTGTTGAAGGAGGATTTTCTTTTCTGCTAGATGCTTGAGTGTTCCTCCTTTCCGCAAATGAATTCTCAGAATTACTAATGTGCCCATCACCACTTTTTTCTGTAGGTCTCTGCCAATGTGAAGGAGCCCGTTCATCCAACCCTCTAGGTGGTGATTTGGATTTTCCATCTCTAGGAACCCATCTCTTTTCCTCATACCTATAACAATATACAGCAAACAATTAGAATAATACAGAAAACTCTGCACTAAAACTAAATACAAAAAAAAAAAATCATTGGGTATTACAGAAAACTCTATTAGACATACTTCGCACGGATGAAGTTCTCAATTCCAACTCTATCGTAATTAGGGGGCAACTCAGCTTCCCAGTAACTGTTTGCCTTCTCATTTCCCATTGCTGTATGATAAGACAAGTCATTATCATATTTAGTAGGCTCTTCTCCATCTTAACATAAAACCACTATCAATTAGAATAATAAAAATTCACGACCTAACAAAAAAGCTTACATTGAACGAAAGCAACCTGCTCAGGGAGCCATGTGTCCAGGGTAGCAGATCGAACCTGCAGCAAGAGCCAGTGAGATGCACACATGCACTTGGGAGAATTAAACTGTATTCCACTAATCATAAAACCACATTTTCATAAGGAATGGGTAACATTGCAGAAAAGCAAATATGTTCAAGATCTAACAGGTAAAGTTTTTTTAGGATAACATTGGCATTCGAGACACCATGGATGACTGCGGGATCATCAAGATAAATTGCAAGAAAAAAACAAATGAAATCTTAGGTAACCCAAAACAAGAGCAATCCCAACATCCGAGTAAGCCAAATCCATAGTCATACTTTTAAAAGCTTTAAAATTAGTCTATTGCAACAAAAAACAGCTTCTGAATCCAACCAGTAAATCCCTAACCTTTCTAACTCTTTTAGGTCATATTTGATGCACAAGATTATGATATGATAGGATAAGATGGTATTATGAATAGGATTAGATTAAATAATGTCATTCTATTTTGTGTTTGATGTAAGCAAGGATTGGGATAGGATAATTTATTTATTTGTCAAAATTATCCTTCTTCAAAGTTTATACAATTTAAATTAGTGATGTAATTTTTAAGGGTATAATTGGACATGTAAGTTTAATCCTATGGATTAAAAATAATCCTCTCCACTTGGGGAGGATTGAATAATCCTAAGCCAAGAGGATATTAATCCTCCTTGCAATCATCCCTCTCCTTAGATACAAATCAAACATGATAGAGGATGATTATCATCCTATCCTATCAATAATCCTATGCATCAAACATGACTTTAAGTCATAAAACATTATCATCAAAAATTGAACAGAAGAAAATATGTCAAGACCATTTCAGGGGCACTGAGTTTTGTCTCCTAGAATGTAAGGGAGGGCACCAATCCAATCACACTTGTGACAAACCAAAATATATAAGTGAATCAAGTACAGAAGCTGAGACAGTGTCAGCAACTCAATGAACCTTCTGAGTCTGGAAGAGATAAAGTATGCATTCCAGAGATAAGAAAATCACCTTTGATATGTGTACCCCGAGACTTCTGTGGATCCCAGAACATTGCATGCATATAAAGATACCTAAATTCACACTTGCCCATCTTGGACCTCTGCAGAGAAAAGAGGCAGTTATTAACACCTATGATAAGAATGAATGCTATCACCTATTCATGACAGAATCTAAAAAGCCCATTTTATTAAGACAATTTCTATTTTAGCATATGCTATTACGATATCCATATCTCTCTTGATTTTTCTCGTGACATACTTGGCTTTGCAGTCAGCACATTCCTTATTCTCTGGCAATTTAAGAAGACCTTCAATAATCTGCATCCGAGTGAGGTGAAAGAATAAGAACTTTAATCCAGATAATAGACCAACCAAACATCAACATTTACAACATTATGAACGCGAAATGTGCAACAACCAAAATCATTGATTAAATGAGTCTATCACGTCACATGATAAACATAAATGCACAAGAACCCCCAAAAAAGAATCAGGAAAACATATACACAAACAAAGATTATGGAGGAATTTAACACCCTCCACGACCTAATTCAAATTCCTTGATGCCACATAGGAAGATTGTGTAAAATTGCTCCTACATCCAAAAAATTGAAACTTTCAAAAGTTCCTAGATATATGAATAAATCAATCAAAACCAGATGCAAATGTTACTATTATCAATCTGCAAACTTGAAAAAGATATTAAAAAGGAAAAGCATAATTAGGCTAAAAAATCCCAACTTTTAAGAAAAACTGATTGAGGAAAACCAAGTTTAGATCTCGCAACGTATCAAAATATTAAAAATGCAATTTTTAGCAGAGGAAATTCCATTAATCTCACTGAAGTTCACCAGTTTGATTTAACAAAACCGATCTTAATCCGATAACAATTTTAACATAATCACCATTCATTCATATAAAAGAATGGCTTAAATCAGCTCACACTCGCTATTCAACATTCGATTCGATCAAATCCCTTATAAAAAACAGAAATTTAAATCAAATGACCAAAAATTAAAAAATAAGTGAAAAAGCAACAGAAAATTTATATAAAAAACATAGATCAAATCGATTCGGAGTCAAAACACGAGCAAGCCATGAAATGGGATGAAAATCGGTATTAGGATAAAACAAGAAGGTCAAAAAGGTAAATTTAGGATCACCGTTCGATGTTTGGCATTGAGCTCCTTGGAAACGTTGGCCTTCTCGTTCATGTTTGAGAAATGAAAAGAATTTACGGCGAGAGATGATGACGATGGCGAAGAAGAAGAAGGAAGGGTAATTTAGAAAGAAAGCCAAGGTCAATTCGGTCTTTTTCCGCCTCTCTTTTCCCCTTCTTTCCCTTCTCTCCTTCTGTTCTTTCTCTGATTTTTCTGCGACTCGAAGGAAAAAGAAGAGAAAATAATGAAATAAAAAGAAAAAAAAAAAAAGAGAGAAGAATTTCCAAAGTCAGTCTCCGCTCCTTTGACTTTATAAAAGAAAAAAACTTTTTATTCTTTTACGGGAATTTCGGGTTCGATTTTCCCACCCTTCTGTTTTCTCTTTTTCACGCGATGCGAAGAGTTGTTCGACGGTGATAGGGGGGAAAAGTTGAAAATTAATTTAAAATTATAATATTTGATTTGATTTGATTTTGATTTAATTTATTTTTTTATTAATTTTGAATTAAATTAAAATATTGAATATATATTATATTCAAAATAAATTTTAAATTTAAAAGTAAAAAATTAAAAAAATAAATCAAATAAAATTATATATATTTTAATTTTTATATATTTTAAATTTTTTAAAAAACAAAATAATTATTTTATGTAAAAATTATTAAAATATATAAAAAATTTAAATTTAAAAATTAATAAATCATTTGATTCAAATCAAATTATATAAAAAATGAATTTAAATTTAAATTAAATTTTAAAAATTTATAATATTATACAATATTTATAAAAATAAAATAAAATTTAATCGAATTGCTATCAATTCAAAATAATAATAAATAATTTTAGATACAATTATATGATAAGATGATAATATAAAATAATATAATTTAAAATTAATAAAAATTGAATTTAATAAAAATTAATAAATATATTTTACATGTGATGTATTAATATAAATTATAATATAATAATTTTTATATTTTAATCGAATTTAATAATTAATATATAGATCATCAAAGTTACCATACATGTGTGAATAAGTTTTAATCGCTCGCGAAAAAGCGCGTCTGAATTCTGGCTTTGCGGAATCTATGATTGAATTGCGTGAAAATACGTGGCATTTTCTTTAATCGTCATGGTGGAGAAATTTAGGAATTGACAATAATAAAAACGTTTTTTTAAAGCAAAAAAGAAAAGTAATTTTAAATCGATTTGCCCTGTGTTTTACTTTGAAATTTTGATTTGTTTTACTTTGGAAAATTATATAAGGTTCGTTTTAATTTGTTTTAGTATTGTTTTAGAAATGTTTTTCACATATAGTGTGTGTTATTAAATAGATTTACCGGCCAAAAAAATAGATTTACCATTTTAAGTGTGATCATTTGGCATTTTATGATAATTTTGGAGTAATTTTATAATATTATTACTAAAATTTTAGGTTTTTTTTTTATAAATATCTAATTTAAAAAATATTTTTTTACAGGATATTTTAAAATATTCTTAGTATAAAAAAAGTGATAAAATATTTACTAATTAGTGGATAAAATTTTACAAAGAGATTATAGGTTTGAATATAATTTTTTTTATATAAAAAATTATTTGAACTCAAATTTAAGTTTTACAATTCATGGTAATTTCTTTTTTAAATATTACTCAATTATTAAAAAATTATTAGCTTGAACTCGAGTACATACCTTAAAAAAAAAAGTTGAATGTATTACATTAATTTTTTTTAAATACTAGTTACTACTAATCTTGTGCTCATAGATTTCTTAGATGATTGATGATCCATTTATATGAATCCTATGATTCCCTTACCATTTATTTTGTTTATGGTGCAAAAACAAGCAAATGCACTTGTTCAACTCCCTTCTACTTGGAGCATTTGTAATTACTTTAAAACTTCTCCATCCAATGCTACATGATTTTCGGTGATTTTAATTAGTGGACATGATGCGAGCAAGGAAATGAGACGTTAAAAGCATTGTAATTTATGTCGTGTAAAATATTATATTTGTATCTTATTTTATATAAAAATTACGTATTATAATTCATATTAATATGAAAATATAAAATATAATTTTTTGATTTTATTTAATCAGTTTATAATTTTTTTAAAATTTTAAATCATATTATTTTCGTAACTTTTATTTATGTCGTTTTGTGTTATATCATTGTTTCATATTTCAAATTACTAGGTCTAATACTGATGATGCATAGGGTTACTATGGGCAGAGGTGTGGATGAGTATATACAAATCAATATGGTAATAGGTGCTTGAAAATATGCATGGGTTGAATGTGTAGCAGTGGGAAAAGAGAGTAGTTTACGCCATTTGAATGTGGAAGAAGCACAGAATTGATGGTTTCTTCAATGTCATAATTGTTAATTGATGTTTTGTTTCAACTTTCAAATTTTTAATATAAAAAATTTGGCAATCACGGTTTTCATGTCTAAAGCAAAGAATTAATGATTAAAAAACACTGGGATCTTCCATCAAAAAGAAAAAAAAAAGGGTATTGTAAAAGAGAAAGGAAAGGAAAAGGGCAACAAATTGTGATATGGGACTTCATTTCTTGGTCAACTGACTGAGTCAAGGGCCTTTGGCAGAGTTCTTACAATCATGGTTCCACAACGATCACCAAGGTCAACAAGTTGGTAACAGTTGGTGCAGTGGAAAAGATCAACCAACACTTGTCTGATCCTGAAACCCGGTCAAAATCTCCAGGGTAGCAACCGATGTTGCAAGGGATGCTGCCATTGAGGGCCTTAAAACCATCCCTGATAATGAATACTTCTTCGCGTGTATATATGCTGTATCATTCATTATTGGGTTGTTAATTTAATTCTAATGTTTGAAAAGCAAATGGATTGTTGATCACTCATATTTTGACTAGTTTTCATTTGTTATCTTCACTCATTGATCATGATTTTGCTGATGCTGTTTGTATAATTTAAAGCTTAGCCATGGTGCAAGCAGCGACCAAAAGCAGGCTGGCGAAATGAAGCCTCAAAACACAGTCCAGGCTTCTGAGAAACCAGATGATAAGAGTCAAGTCTTCTCAATGAAGAATATCATCAATAACCATTTGAAGGATGATTCAAAGGAATATCAAGTATGATCGAGCAAAGTGCAAGACACTGATGCTTCTGTCTTGCTACTGGAAACATAAAAATCAATGGATATTTGCCCTAGTTTTGAGTATTGGAGAGGATCCTGTCCCCAATGGGTTACGCAAGTTCTCTCCTTGAATGTTTCATTAAAAGGAAAAGGATATCATTAAAAGGAAAAGGATAGAAACTTAGAACACATGAGGATAATATAGGATGGAATTCAAAATTTTGAGTTGAAGATACATATAGTGCATAATAATGGCTACAATTATTGGTGACTCAAAATCTTAATTAATGTTGTTGCCGATCAGTTGTTATTGATTATGATTTAATGCAAGTAGTGTTGCTCGAAACACCAGACTAACTGATGCTTGATATTGGAAAAACCATTGATCTGTCCTGTTAAACTAACACATCCATAGGCAATACAACAGCCACTTGCTGTTCTACTTAAAGGAAGTACAAACTTTCTGCCATATTGAGCCATAACACTCTACTTCAGTGAATTGCTTTGGGCCTTTGCAATTTGCAAAGTCACTAAAACCAGCCAGGAAAGTCCTGATTACAAAATAACACATCACAAAAGTTATGCAAAGAAAGTCCCGATTTGTTTTTGTTTCCTTTCATTATGATATGAGGAAGTTATTTTTTCGGTACAAAGGAGGCGTAGCCTGGGGATAAGGGAAGGCTGCAAGTGCTGGGATTTGAACCTCATGCGGATGTTACCTCTTAAAGGTGCCAACATGAACTTATTTTTCTACTGAATTCTTTGAGAAATTGAGAATAGCCAAAGGAAACCAGTTCTTTTTACTAAATGCAATGCTTTTCACCAGCTGTGCTATTTTTTTAGCAGCATCAAGTTTCCAAAGAACTTTTCCAGCTAGTTCTGTAAGTCGCATGAGATTGCAGACTTTTGGTAACAGAGATAGCCACATAAATCTCACTGTCCAGTCCTTTCTGTGAGTAAGACCAGCAATCACCATTGCCTGGCCAAAATCCAGAGAGAACAATTATTTGAAGAAAGGAATTTCTACCATGCTTTCATATTTGATGGCAATGTGCTTTCATTTGCTTCTGGTTATGAAATGTTCTTGTTCTCCAAATGCAGTTCTTTGAAATGCTGTTAGGTTCATATGGCCTATCACATTTAGCCAAATCCAATCCACAGATGCATCATATACTCAAAATTTTTTTTTTCTTTCGATAAATCATTGCTGATAAGTCTAAATATAATCAGGTACCAAAAAATTTTCATCAGAAAAGCCTTCCTGTTTAGAAATTTGATTATGGACCATGTTTTCTCTTCAACAATGCCAGTCAGCGTAACAGATCCCAAATTTATGTTTAATTCAGACAAACTAAGATGGGTTTCAAATCTTTTCAATTTTGCCCTTCACAAAGAAAGTTAACAATGCAGCCATCCTCAAGAGGCGACATTCAATAAATTCGGATTCAAATCTCAGCATTTATAACCCATTCCTCTGCGTTCAGACTGCGGCCTCCTCTATTAAAAAAAAAAAATTATGTAAGCAACATGAAAATTAAGGTAACACATATTAAATACAAGTACAACAAAGGTTATATGGGGAAGGTTGATTCTTCCCAGACTGAATCCTTAACCATTTGATAGGAAAATTCAATTTCTAAAAAAAGAAAACCTAGTTGCAATTTTTATTTGGGAAATTAAAGGTAAAGAATCTGCACGTGTATTTGATCTTATCTTGACTTAGATATTGATCATGCCCTGTATCTAACGTATATCCAACTTTTTCAGAAGAAAGGAAAGTGACATCTGAGAGATTTATCATCAAAGTAACACAATTTTTTTTTCATTCTGAGTACTTTCAATGTCCATGGTTGGCATTGAGTTGAAGGGCTTAAGGCTAAAGCATCCCACCTGGCAAGAAGTCAAAGTCTTTCGGACACCAGTTGACGAACTAGTTGAAATAAACTATCCAGTTAAAGCCTGCCACTGCCCTCTAGTTTCATTCCTTTAATCTTTCTTTTAAGCGGCAAGGCTGTTTTTGGCTTTACTTAATACATCCTTTCTTTCTCGATCGGTCCAAACAGATTTATCTACATTTAGCGAATTCATAAATAATTCCCAGAGGATTTGTGCTCAAGAAACAAAGAGAGAAAGGACACTTTTTTTGTCAATTGAAAGAGTTGTACGTTGTCCTTCCTCCCTTCAAGCAGAGAAAACTTTGCAACTTGATGGCATTGATTATATATATAATTTAAGTTCCATTATATTTGAAGAAATGACAACCATTTCTAATCTCACCATGCTCATGCCGAGCATTTAGGGAAAGATTGGACAAAATCGCAAGTATAAAAACAATTAAACAAATGAAAGGAAGACTGACATTCAAAGGAAACGTTGCCGTTAGAACTCTATAAAGACAGCTGAAGAAGCCTGAGAGTTCTTGCATCATTGAGAAAAACAAATCTTATTGTTTCTTAATTTCTGGTAACAATGTCAAGCATGAAGGTCATAAGAAGCAGATATAGTTTTGTCATTCTACTGATCTTTGTTTCAGCTGTGATTAAAGCAAATGCAGATTATTTCAAATGCCCTAAAGCAAGCCTATGCTATGGAAAGCTTATAGAATGCCCTAAAGGCTGCCCGAGTGCTTACTCCAAAAACAAGAATGCTAAAGTTTGCAATGTTAACTGTGATTCACACAGTTGCAAGCCTCACTGCAAACGTAAGATCACCTCCTTCATTTTCATTATAGAGCTAATTTCTTGTAATCAAAACTAGATCCGGTAATTTTAATGACATGACACAATATGATAAAAAAATGCATATGGGTTTTTAAAAAATATATTTTGTATTTATTTGTATTGACACGAATTTCAAATACAACATTATCTATATTTTATATTATTCATATCTTACAATACTAATACGATTAAATAAATATAAACCATAAAAAATACGTTTAAATAAAATGTATCACATAGATACATGTTTAATAAGTGATATTACACGAAATACATGTTTAATTGAATCATATCACATGAGTATAAATTTAACTATTTTTTTATATTTATTTTAATTTATTATAAATATATAAAAATTATTGTAATTTTTAATTTTTTATTCAATATAATCATATAAAGATTATTTGAAACATTTAATTATGATATTCATTTAATAATTAATGTAAATTATTTTTTATATTAATAATATAAGTATAATATAAATAATAATATTAGTATGATAGGTCATTATTTAATAATTTATTTTTTAATTTTTAATAGTTCATCATTTTGAATTTGTTGGTGCTAAAAACAAATATAATTATGTATAAATTTATTATTTTTATATTAGTAATATATATGTTTAAATGCATATTAAATAGGCAGTAAAGTTTTTTTATATTTTTAGTATGCAATTTTTTTATATTAGTAATATATATATTAAATATATATATTAATATATATTTATATATATAAATCTTAACATATCAAATATATACTGTGCTTTATAATTTTCTATAATAAAAATAAAAAAGTATTTAAAAAAAAATTGGAAGGACTATATATACTTAATTGTTAATAACAAATAATATCCGACATTATTTAGTATTTAATCTTATTTGGTTAATTGTAACTTGTAAATAGATTGTACTTTTTTATTTTAGTTGTATTGTTGTGTTATTGTGTATGTTGTGTCCTTTCGTGTTATGTTATATTACTCATGTCACTTATGTCATGTTTAAATTGATTAATTATATATATGTTAATATTGACATATCACATGTAATATATATAATAAATGTTTCATATTCGTGTTTAAAATTTAGACACATTTATAATTTGTGTCATGTTTGTATTTCAATAATTTGTATTGTCAGACGTGTTAGATACGACATGGATACACAATATGGTATATCAAATTAAAAGAAGACAGATACTACAAGGAAACTTTGTCATTGGAATTCTAGAGCTCTAGCATCATTCAGGAAATAAACCTCATTTCTTTAATATTTAAGCATGGGGAGATCATAATAAAAGCAGCTCTAGGCGTTTATCATTCTATTAATCATTCTACTAATGTTTGTTTCAGATCCGAAAGCGGGGCCATTACCAAAAAATCCAGAATATTTCCATTGTCATCCAAGAAGCCGGTGCCATGGAAAGCTTATACAATGCCCTCATGAATGCCCCAGCATTAAATTCTCCAACAAAAATGCTAAAGTTTGCTATGTTAACTGTGAATCACCCATCTGCAAGCCCCAGTGCAGGCGTAAGAGCACCTGCTCCCTTTTCATTTTAAAGTTAGAAGGTAGAGTGTTGTGAATGCTAAAGTTACAATAGCATAAATGTTTCTTTTTCTATTTCATGATTTTAGATACCAAACCAAACTGTGATGGTCCTGGATCAGCATGCCATGATCCTCGCTTCATTGGTGGTGATGGCATTGTCTTCTACTTCCATGGAAAGAGCAATGAGAATTTCAGCTTGGTCTCTGATAGCAGTCTCCAGATTAATGGTCGCTTCATTGGTCACCGCCCTGCTGGCCGAGGTAGAGACTTTACTTGGATTCAAGCACTTGGAATCCTTTTCAACTATCATAAATTTTCTCTTGAGGCCACCAAGGCTGCAACTTGGAGCAGTGAAGTCGACCACCTAAAATTCAGTTACAATGGGGAGGATTTAGTCGTTCCAGAAGGTGCTCTCTCCGTTTGGTACTCACCCGAAAAAGATGTGAAAGTTGAGAGAGTAGCAGAAAAGAACACTGTCATTGTCACTTTGAAAGGTAGTGCAGAGATTATGATCAATGTAGTACCAGTGACGAAGGAAGACAACAGAATTCACAACTATTCATTACCTGCTGGTGACTGCTTTACTCACTTGGAGGTGCAGTTCAAGTTCTTTGCCCTTTCTCCTACGGTTGATGGGGTGCTTGGCAGGACTTACAGGCCTGATTTTGAAAACCCTGTCCAAACTGGTGTGGCAATGCCTGTTTTGGGTGGTGAAGACGAGTATAGGACAAATTCACTTCTCTCTGCATACTGCTCAACTTGTTTGTTCTCACTGGAAAGTGGCTCAAACAAAGAGACGACATCGGGGACTAAATCTGGCGTTCTTCTTGACTGCACCCATGGGGCCTTTGCAGGATATGGAATCATTTGCAAGAAATGAGGGCTATTGATGTGTTGATATGTAAAGTAAATAATTGAAGCTAAAGTTTCTATCAAATAAATGGTTGCTTCATGCAAGTGTTGCACTTATAATTTGTTTATGATGTCATTTTATGTCTGTAATGGAGCCAGTTGCCGAGCCAGAAGCCCAAAACATCTGGTTGAATGCCTGGTTACTTCAAAACCAAAAGGTAATTGATGTTTGTCGGTTATCAGTTAGTGTCAATTTACCCCTGAAAATTTTTACTCCTCATATAACCAGAATTTGAAATCACAATGAAAGGAAATTGATTTCCAACATTGCAAGTCAGTTCAGCAGCTGGAATAGAAAATAATGCCTTATATCATAAACTCATGAAGTGAACGAAAGATGAATATGATATTCCTTATCTGGTAACTGTGTAGTACTAATATGGGCATTTGGAACCCAGATGAATTAAATCAACAATGATGGAATATTTATGGTACGTTAAATTCGATTTTCTAATGGATTGTTCGGTGGCCATCACTCAACTACATTACAAACTAAATATATTATGATAGAAAATTTGAGGAAAAAGAACAGAATATTGTAATAAGAAAAAACCTTAATTCAGTCTCTTGTGATATTTCCAAGTATTCTCAGGGCAAGGACAACTCAGCAGGATGTTCAATGGCTAAAATCACAACAAGGCAGGATCAATTGTCATCTACCTTCCACGAGGATTTACTAGCTGTGAAAATACTGCACTAGTAGCAGCATCTTCAGCATCATCATCAGTGCCAGAATTTCCCCCATTGATCATGCTTACACTGATATCAAATGGCTCGAGTGGTGCCAAATGAATGGAAGGGATATGGTTTGTGCTGTTATCATCAGGTTCCATTAGGGCTGATGAGGTCTCCTCCAGCTGAAGAGCATATTCAAGGTTCCATAAAACATCTCCCATAGTTGGCCTGTCAATGCCGTGCTCAGCCAGGCACTTCTCAGCTGTCTCTCCATACTTCTTAAGAGAAGCTGGATTCACTTTCCCCACCAGATTAGAATCCATGATTTGATCCAACATACCTTTCTTCTGCCAGCTCATTGCCCATTCTGCAATATTAACTTGTTCTCTGGGAAGAACAGGATTTAAAGCCGGCCTAGTGCAGAGAACTTCCATCAGAACCACCCCAAATGAATACACATCTGACTTTTCTGTGAGTTGCTGCCTTCTAAAATATTCAGGATCAAGGTAACCAAAGCTACCCTTAACAGCAGTACTCACATGTGTCTGATCTAAAGCTGGACCAGTTTTTGAGAGACCAAAATCTGCTACTTTGGCTACAAAATTCTCATCCAAGAGAATGTTTGTTGTCTTCACATCTCGGTGAATAATGCTTTGGGCTGCACCAGTGTGGAGATAATGAAGTCCCCTAGCAGCTCCAATGCATATTTCAAGTCGTTGCTTCCATGACAGAGGTGGTAGATTTGTTCCATAAAGATGGCTTCTAAGGGGTCCATTAGCCATATATTCATAAACAAGAACCATTTCTGATCTTTCATCACAGTACCCAATAAGAGAGACAAGGTGGCGATGGCGAAGTTTTGACAACATTTCAATTTCAGTGCGGAATTCAGCAAGACCTTGTTCAGATCCGGGGTTACCTCTTTTGACAGCAACTTTAGTCCCATCTTCAAGTGTTCCCTTGTAGACCCTTCCAAAACCACCAACTCCAAGAAGTAGGCTCTCATCAAATTTGTTTGTAGCATCTAGGATTTCTTGGAAGGAGAAGAACCGGCCCAGACTGGAGGAAGCCAATGAGATGCAGCTTGCTGTTCCACTCTTCTGTGATGTTGTGGACATTTTGGTCATTGTAAGAGAGTTTCCATATAAGGGCAAAGGCAACCATGGATGATGTCCTTGATGAGTAGTTTTTGACTTGCTTGATGCCAGGCAACAAAAGCAGAATCCAATTAATGCCATTACCAGTGCTACAGCTCCAGCAAGACAACCAATTATCATCCCTATATTGTTCTTCCTCGAGGATGATCTTGGAAGGAGATTCTTAACAGAAGAAAGCCCATCCAGGCTTCCAGCATCATTGCTGAGTTTCAAAATCTCCAATCCGTTCAGTGTTGCATTAGTGGTGTCTGCCATTGAATCCGGACCAATACTAACAGTCAAAGTATCAGATTCTGCTGAAGAATTGGAGACAAAGTCCTTATAATAAGGGACGTTTAGGCCGCCAGTCAATGTTGAGAGGTCAAGACTTGCATATGCAATATCATCATTTATGTATAGATTGAAAACCAGAATGTTGAGAGACTGACTCAAGATATCACAAAAATGTGCCCGAACAAAATACTGGAAGTTTGGATCAACAGGAAAGACCCAAGTCACATTGAAGTTCATGCCGGGTACATTTGCATCTCCCATGGCTTCAGCAGTCGCATAGACCCAATTTGGTGCTGTTTCGGCTGTAATGGAAGCTGTGTATTTGATAGAAGCTGGATTGACCGAAACATTCAGGGCAGAACTGTTTACATGGAGATATTTCACATCATTCTCCCAAGTTCTTCCAAGGGTATCATTCTGAGCAGTGATCAATGGCCCACCCATGTTCAACCGATAAACAGTTTCCATGGCAAATTCTGAAAGACCACTAGAAGAAAGACCACTAATAGAAGCAGATGGATTCAGACCTGATAATGCCCGGTCAGGCAAGACTGCATCTGGGATGGAGACAACTTCGATTGCATTAACAAACGAAAGTGAATTGTTTGAAGGAATGAAGGTAAGGGTCAAGGTATTGGAAGTCACACTGATTGCATACTCCTTGAACAAAAAAGAACCATTATAGTTCTTGAAAGTGAAGTTGTTCAAGAGCACAATATCATCAGTAACAACTGTTATTGGAGAAGATGTCAAGTTCTGGCCCGATTTAGGAAGAGGATAAAAATAGAGCCGGACCCAAAGCCGACCTTCTTGCTTGATATGAAACTTGTAAGAAGCAATTCCAGAGAAAATTCGAGCCGATTTATATATTGGAGATGGAACACTAGAATTAGAACTAGCAACAAAAGAACTTCCACTCTTCAATGAAAGAGAAGAATGTCTCGAATCAGGAACAAAAGTTCTACCTTGGAATGTGACATTTTGTGAAGAACCACAAGCAATCAAGTAGTTATCAGCAGGAGTGAATGAGGCCTGAATTCTATAACCCAAAAACTTCAACAAAACAACAGCTAAAACCAAAGCCACCCAATTCCTTTCTTTCATCTTCAGCTTTTTCAATAACAATAATCCCAACTCAACAAAAAATCATCAAAACACTGCCTAACTGTAAACTAAGATCAGAAGAAATCCCAAAATCCCACAAAAATCGAAAAGAATAACCTCAAAAAACTGCTTAAAAACACCAATAATTCAACCCCCCAAAGTTCATATCTTTCCTGACCTCAGATCTAACTAACACCAATGTTAATCCACACAATGCAAAGTTACATAAAATTTATTTCAAAAATAAAAACTTCATCAGCGCCCTTACCTCAAAAATGAAGCCAAAATGGGAAATAACCAGCTATTCCCTTAAATGGGTTTTGAGTTTAAGTCTTTTTGGATTCAAAGACAAAAATCCAGTTGAGATAACACGAGTGTCACCAAGAAAAAAGAACCAATATTTTTTAAGTGTAGCAGCTGCTTCTGCATATAACCCAACTTTTACAGGCTGTTGATTAGGCTGTAATTTACCGAGAAAAGTTAGAGGACCCCACCAGTTCAGAAGAAAGAAAATTCTACATTCTCACTGTATCGGAAGCAGCTTGCTGGGAATGTATCACTTCCTATAAAAAAAAAAATCAGCCGTTTATCTCTCTCTTTCTCTCTCTCAGTATATTGAAGAAGCTTTGGATTTTGTTGAGATGTTAGTAGCTTTTCAAAAGCTTTTTAATTTCATATGAGAAAGCTCCATGAAAGTCCTGGAACTGAAGCTTTATATCATTCTACGTTTAACATTAAAAAAAAAAAAAAAGGATTGAAAAGAAAATGGCAAAATTAAAATTTTGAAGTGAAAAAAAAATAATAATAATAAACTGGTGGACGAGAATTGATGGGTTGGGACCAAACGATCAAACGGGACCCACTTTTACGCGGCTTTGGAGGAGACGGAGTTGACGGCGTTTAAGTAAACGGTCTTTCAACAAGTGAACTTGTAGGGACCGTTTGGCGCGTGAAATTTAATTGATGTCTCTTTAACGTGGTTAAGGTGGGTATATATTATTGTTAGAAAATTTTTTTCTTTTAAGATATGTTATTGGAGACAAGAAAAAAAAATTAAAATTAAAATGTTTGTTAAAAAGAAAATTTTATTGGATTTTAGCTGCATTTTATCCTCTTTAATCGACGATGTATAAATTTAATATAAATATTCATTGAAATTTATGATATATTTTGATCTTCAAATGAAATAATTTTTTCATTGAAATAATTTAATAAAAAACCAAAGCACCGTAAAAAACCTTAACGCCGTTAACTAAACTTAACTTAGTGAATGGAATCTGTACTTAAACGACCGTTAAAATTGACGTCAAAATGGTCCGATTATGTTACAAACCTTCACTAAAATCCATCGCATTGACGCACATGGACACGATCACTAACGTCCCTATCTTCTTGCTTTTAAATTAAATATAAAATTTCTTTTTTTTTTAATTTAAAGATTATTAATTATTTTTTTCAAAAAATTATCAAAAATTTTCAATTAGTTTATAATTGCAATTTTTCTACGGGTATAACCTGGAAGCATCTGTCAAGTTACAAGTCAATTCTTTCGGAGTAAAATTGGTGAAAAACATTTAAGGGCATGGATTCCTTTGCATTCTCCGTACGGTAGAATTCGAGGGGTTTCGGTCCCTAAATGTATCATGGATGAATTTGGACAGTATTCCATCCCCGTAATTGGGAGCTTCCGGCTGTATTTCTGGGTAACAGGGTAATAGACTGTTTTAGGGTAAAATTAAAAAATAAAAGAATTTTTAATTATGGCAGTGAACACTTAAAAGGTATAGTCTATCATCCTTTCTAATATTATGTTTACATTTAAATATATATTTTTATATTAATTTTAATTTTGTTGTTTTAATACTTGTAAATGATTTTTTTGAATACGAATGAGATGGACAGTGATTTGGAGATCGTATGAGGAATAATCTATACATATAGCAAGAAAAGCATGATTGAAATTAATATATATGAGAGATAATGAGCGATGATGTAATTAAAATTATTGATAGTTGATGAAAATTTATGTGAAATTCAAGAAAAGTTACTTAAGTGTGAGTTGTATTTAATAATTACATGTCCGTATGAGTATATTTAATGATTTTATGCAAATTATAAGTTAAATGATCTGCTATAAAGTGATGTCTTGATTAAACGTTAATAATAATAAGTAACCGAGCTTATTTATGGACGAAAAAGTAAGATAAGCTCATATTGTGATAAAAAATTTAAACGTTAATCTTCTTTTGTGATGACGCGATAATCAAACGTGATAGCACATATTAACTTGATAAATGTAAACCTTAACTTTATTTAATAAATATAATACTACTCAATCTTATTATTATAATAACTAATCTCATTACCACTATAATTTTTAATCTCTCTATCATTCAAATAAAACCTAAATTGTTGATTTCAAAGGGTATAAAGTTTTTTTTTTTTTTTAAATTGGGGGTCATTTTCACGGCAAAAATTTTGGACTTTTGTTATACGTAAGGGACGTTAGCCAATGGGGAAGTGCAATATTGAAGATTTTATACCTGTCCAAACTTCGTAACGAATTTTTATGTATTCTTCACATGACAAATGATTCATATTTTGACAAATTTTCCATCCATATCCCATAAAGATACTTGATAACAACTGTTTTTTGTACATTCGCAAAGAAATATTTTTTTATGTGAATGGTGCGTAAAAACTAGATGCATGTAATCATTATCAATGATCATATTATAATTTAAACTAAACAAAATTGAATAATCATGATAAATATTTACTAATCTCTTCATTTTCTTTAAGAATTTCCTAAAAAATTTCTCTAATATAAAAGGCTATTAAGTATTTTAAAAAAAAAAAGACTACCCTATTAAGATTTATAATTTCATCCTAACCTTTTTTTTTTTATACAAATAAAACCCAATTGATCATATATTAATTATTGAATTAAACATTCACATATCAAATTTAAAATTTTAAAATAAAATAATAAATTCACATTTCATTTATTGATATTCAATAAGATGGATGTGAAGCAAATTAGAATTCCCAAGATCCAAATTTTAATTCAAGTTGTTCAAGTGCTTTTTGGGTTAGTAGAATTAAGTTCACAAGTAATTTTAAGAAGATAGCTCGTTCAAATTGTCAAAGAGAAAAAAAAAAATCAAAAGAACATTGGAATTAAGATTTTGAAACCTTCTACCAAATTAATGCTTGAATGCTTATTTAATTTCAGCCATTTAATTTCAATTAAATGGTCGGGTGCTCAATTTAATTGTGACTAAGATTCAAAATTTCAATTCAAATTAAAAAAATATAAGATTTAAATTGCAATTTCTTTTGGATAATAAACTTAAACCAACACCCTAAATAAAATGGTAAATTCCGAATGAAAAAAAATTATCATTGAGATCAGAGAATAGTAAATTTTGAGATGCGGAGAGTAAAAAAATTGGCAGCAGCAAAGAAATGAAGAAAATGGAGCATGAACTGTCAAGCAAAGATGCCATGTGCTAAACATCATTTTTTCTCATGCATTGCCTTGGACCACATGTCACCATCTGTCTACGAAAAATGTTATCTTCTTCTAGGAAAAATGTTAAACCTGCAAATTAATTCAATTTTACCTTGAAATATCCAAAAGTTCATTTATATTTAAAATAAAAATTTATATGATCTGGTTGGATATGATCTTCCTTTACTATTTACTTACGTTACTTACTAGAACTACAGAACTTGATTGATTTCTACAGTTCGTTGTTTATATATGAAAAAAAAAAATGAAAGTTTATAATATTTTGACTTCAAAATTTTACTTATAATACGATATAAAAAAAATAATATAATTTAAAGTTGACAAAAGTGTTATATAAATTTGATAAAAATAAAAAATATTTCGTATTTGATATGTCAATACAAATTATAATATGATAAATTTATTTTTTATATATTTTATATAAAATAAATATAATATAAATATATAACATTTAAAATTTACTTTCAAATTTTAAGTTGTATGATTATCAGAACCTCATTTATAGTGTATCTGTTTCTTTAATATTTGTCTTTTGGCCTGTAGAATCTTGTTGTACCTACTTCCTTAGATATTTATTAATTTCATATGTCCATTTAACCAAAAAAAAAAAAAAACCAATTTCGAGGTAATTTGATTTCTCCTACTTTTTGTGTCTCATTTGAAGCCAACTTCTGTACCCAAAGCATAATCGCCAATTGGATTTAATTTTACATTACATTTATCTAATTGTATCTTAATTCTTTAGTTGATTTATTTGTTTAATTTAATTAATTGATTTCTTATATGAAATATAATACAATTATAATTTTAAATCTTAAAATCAAATATTAATACATAATTTAATAAATTTAATATAAAATAGTTGATGGTTTTTTTTTTGTATATTAATTGAGGGGAAGGAAATGAGGTTGAAAGGAAAAACAATTATAACTACCTGTAGTTAGAAAATACAATCAGAGGGCAACGAAATTGTCACTCTGGGTCGTGCTCCGATACTTAAGTCAGTGTAACGTTTGAAATAAGATTAAAAGGTAACGTAAAAAAGATGGATAAATGGTGAAGTATGGGAGAGAAGCTACCTTGGAGAAAGAATCTAGAGAGATGTAGATCTTTCTTATTGTTGTGTACCTGGTTTGCTGGTTTTTTCATATCTCTTGTGTGAGATAAAACCGATGATTTGATCGAAATAATTGATAGTTAAAAGAATGTTTATGTGAAGCTAAAAAAAAATCTACGTGAATGAATAAAAATCGCATTTAATAAGTTTCAATAAATGTAAATATGAATTGTATTTAATGATTTTGAAATAGTATTTAATAATATAAGATAAGTTAGTGTTCTATTAGTTAGTTTTGAAGTGATTACTTAGTTTTGAAGTGATTACTTTGATAAGTCATTAGTGAGACTTCAAGAGAATTTTTTTTTTTAATAAGTGCGATCCATCTCCTTAGATAACGTAATTATTTGAGCACGCTTTAATTAGACGACTTGAAAGTTTTAATACATTAATCAGTTGATTTAGGTATAACAAAAATTAAATCGAACTAATATTTTAAAATTTTAAATTTAACACCTCAAATTTATTGTAGTGTATTAAGGTTTAATTACGAATCATTGAATCAGCTACGACGCCGAAGGTCTATTCAAGGACTGCACTCGGCAGTAACCTTGATACAGTCAGCCCAATTGTCTAAGCTGTATTTTGTTGAAATATATATATAGTATGGTTTCACCATTGTAATAAATGCCTCTTAGCCACTAAAACTGTGTTTTGTTTTTGAATTTGAAGAAAACAATCTCACATCCTCTTCATGCCATAGGCTTCTTTACATCATCATTAGCCTCACCCTTGGATTAAACCCCATCCCTTCTTCTGCCGACAGAGAAAAATAAATATATTTTATTTCATCCGAATATATGATACGAATATATAAATTTTTATATTTTATATTACACGAATATTCGATACGCATATATAAATATAATACCAGTGAACATGGGTTACAACAAACTTGCAATTTCATGGTGAAATAACACAAAATTTTCTCATCAGCAATAGATATATATAGCAAACCTTTGAGTCCTAAAAAAATGAGAAAAAAAAAAAAAAAGAGAGGAGCTTCGAGCTTTATCTGTATGATTTAAGAATAGCTCCACAAAATGTGCAAATTATAGCCTTCCAAGATTTACAATAAACTGGAACAAAACAAAACCGGGTAATGGTTTTCATGTCGCCGACGCTTGCTCCTCCGCCACACCGCGAGCACATCCCTGCTGCCGGCTTAATGCTTGTCTGCTTCCGCCTTTGATCCACCAGGAAACAAAAGCAGACCATATTCAAGCAAGAAACAAAACAAGCACAGATATTGTTCGAACTTTACCGTTCGAACTTTAGAGGATGGGAGAATATATAAACCAAATATTATTGTTAAAGGTCGAACTATTTGTAGTGGTACGACCATAGGATGCGTGACACGTTCGAGTAATAAGAAGGAATAGTTCGATGTTTATGTTTTGTTCATGTAATTTTGGCGACGAACCTGTCCAACTATCATGGCAATAATGCGAATGGTTTCCACGTTGGACGAGGCAGTTGGGGTCTGTAATTGAGTTGCAGGAAGGTTGCTGTAGAACAGTAAAAACCTCAGCAGAATATCTTACAGGTTTTAATGAGGGTGTCCTAAGGAAAAATTTAAAAAAAAGTTGAAAGAATAAAAAAAATATCTTACACATAAACAATTGAGTGTTCGTGTATTTTTATAATATAAAATATTAAAATATATATTATTTTTTATATAAAAATTACGTTTATAATTTATATTAATATAAAAATATAAAATGTAATTTTTAATTTTATTATATTTTTATATAATTAATGTTAAAATTTTTAATTGTATCTTTTGTATTATATTTATATTATGTTTTAAATTATCAAATTTAATTTTGTATATAAATTTAAACATTTTATAAGTTTTTATTTAATTATAAATTAAAAAATTTCAATTAACATAATTATTTCAATAAAAATATGTTGATATTTAAAATTATTTATTTTAAAATTTCATCATTGATGTATAAAATAATGATCAATAAATACATAAAATTGATATCATTAGTTAAATCGACGATTATAAAATTGATATCAATAAATTTGACGTGTTTAATCATAATTATAAAAAATTTATTGAAATCAATTTTTATAATAAAAATTAGATTATTCAATTGAAATATTTAAAATAAATTCTTTCAATTTATTATTAGATAAATTTGAGTTAATATTTTGAATAATTCTTAAATTATAGTGAAATGTTAATATAATCTTAAACTTTAAATTTTTTAATATATTATCTGAATTATAAATTTATTAACTAATATTATAATATTTAAAAAATTATTTATCTCACATATTATCATTTTAAAACTAATTATATTATAATTGAATACTATATTTGTTAAAAATTTATAATTTAAATAATATATTAAAAAATTTTAAATTTAAATTATATTAAATATTTCACTATAAATTAAAAATTATTCCGAATATTAACCAATTAAAATTTTGTGATTATAATAAAATTAAATAAAACCCCATTATTATTGTCACGAAATCAAATTTGTGAGATTAAAATGCAACAAGATACATATAACAACCATTCCCTAGTTTATATTTGTTTTGTTTAGATACATTTTGATCTTTATATACATTTTTTAATGCGTATGATAATATAAATAAAAAATTATTTGATATATCATCAATAAAATTTTTTAATTTTATAAATAAAATTAATATAATGATATATATTTTATTTATTTATTCAATTTTTTAAATATACCTTAAAAAACTTTATATCAAATTTAATAATTTCTCTACGTACCAAAAAGAATGTGTAATAATGGAATGCTTTTATTCCTTTGTTGGTACCTAACATCATAGCGTAAATGGGACCCCTTTGAATTATTATTTCTCTCTTACACTTTTCGAGCAAGCCAATTTTAGATTTTTCAAGCTTTGTCATGATGCGATTGTTTTCGTTTTTCTCAAAGGAATCAAATCATCATTCCCCTTTATCCCCATATTAATTGGGGCTACATTTTTTTTTGTCTGTGGTTGTAGAAATTTAAATTTGAACCATTGTAATTAAAATTAAAAGCTTAATATTTTTATTAATATATTATATGATTGTTGATAATTGAAATTATAGAGACTTGTATTTAATTTGTAAGGTATTATTCATTTTAATTTAAAAATTTTATGATTTTATCTCATAAAAAATATATCGTAAGTTTGAGTTTAAATTTTTACATATATATCATTTTTTATTTACACATTCTTTCAATGTAAAATTAGATCACTGTGTAGTACTTAGTAATTCTTACAGTCCACAATGTAACACTTAATGATTCTCATTATTGTTGATTAGTGACCGTTCTAATACTATTTATAAAAATTCACACTCAACTTGCGATGTATTATTCGTTTTAACTGAAAATTTCATAATTTTATCTCATAAAAAGTACCTCACAAATTTAAATTTAAATCTATACATATATATTATTTTTTATCTATATATTTTTTTAATTTGAGATTCAAAACGTTATAAAAATTACAAAGTTAAGAATTTTTTACTTGAGTCTCAAATTTGAGATTATGATTTATTATTCTTATTAAATATTCATTAAAAATTTATTAAAAATAATGTCTTTAAGGAAACTCAAGTACTATGCATGCAAAGGGGTGCAACTAATTAAATTCTATTTATATATGTTATAACTTGTAAGTCAAATTATTAACTTGAATAAACTTTTTTTTGCCAAGTACACAAAAGTAAAATTGAGCTTTAATATATTTAATGATTTTTATTAAGTTTGGTTGGATAAGTTCTTATTTCAATAATAAAAATTTGGAGTTTTAAGGTTTTAAATTTAAATGCCATTAAATAGAATTAAAAAAAATGTATTTAGATTTTCATTTTTATTATTTATTTATAACTAGTTAATTCTAATAAAATGAAATTCATATATTATATAAGTATATATTAATTATTTCTTACGTGTTAAAATATTTGGTATGCATTTATTTTTATAGAATTTTAAAAAAATTTTGATTTTAACGTATTTAATATTAAAATTAAAAAATTTTAATATTAAAAACAAAGTATTATAAAAAGAAAATTTAAAATATAAAAAAATAAAAATTTTAGATACCAAAAAAAAAGATATAATTTTAAGATATTTAAAAGAAATAGACAAAAAAAATAAAAAGAAACAGATAAATCATACCGCATTGGGAAGAAAATGTAGATTTGTATGGTTATTTAGTCAGTCACAATAAAAACAAATTATTAATGGTTTTTTTTTTTTATGTCACTTTCAATTGCCTAGTTTGCACTAAGTCAAATTTAGACAAGAAATTGACAGATTGGTTGCACTTTTTTGGTAATGATGCTTTTAATTATTATGCAATGACAAATATAGATGATAGAAATTAAGAATTTTTTGGCCAAGACAAATCATCAATCTTCATGGGGAATTTTTACTTAAAATTGAAATTGAACTATACTAACAGTTGTATGATCGATTAATACAATATTAAAATTTTAATTTTAATAATTAATAAACTAAACTAAATATCTGAATACATCATAAGCATTAATAAAATAAATTACATATATTACTAAATAAGTAAATTCATAAATCAAATGAAAACTAATGAAAAAAAAATAATAATATTATATAATAATAATAAATAAATTTATCAATTTTTAAATTTTTATGTGAATTATTTTTTCATATTAATATAAAAATAACTCATAAAAAAAAAATCCAATTAATTTTTCTGGCTTATATTAAAGCTGTCTCATAATTTTTTTTTCCCATTGTCCCAAACATCAATAATTTAAACTAAAATTATTTTCTTGAGAACTCCAAATTTCATTAGAATAATAATTTTAAACTAGAAAATGAAGGAATTCTTTGGAATTCTTTGCAATATTTTTTTTATATAAGAAATCGTAATTTAAAAATAAAAAATTATAAATTTGCAATTAAAATTTTTAATTTACTAAATGTAATATTAAATTTTTATAACATTTAGTGAGAACTTAGAGAAAAAACTTTATTCTTTGTTGTATTATTATGCTTGAGTTTAGTATTATTATTTTTTTTAATCAATAAGGCAATCTAATAAAGTTTACTTTCCTTTTTGGGTTGGGTCATCGTCAATTATGCTTGTTGTTTTGAGTTTGTCTGGGGCCTAGATTTATGCAACTTACAATAACAAGTTCCTGATTTTGAGTTGAAAAAAAAAAATTGCAATGACGTGGCTTTATATATAAATGAGTGTTGAAGGGTGACGGTGGAAACAATTATTCTTGAAGGTGATAATGATTCGGATTGAATCATCTTTGATTTAATTTTTGAGAAATTAATAAAATTTTAAAATTTAATTTAAATTTAAATTAAATTTTTATACGATTTAACTTAAATTATATTAAATGTTATTAGTTTGATTTAATTTGATTTAATAAATTTTTAAATTTATTTTTTATATATTATCTTAATAAAATTTTAACTTATTTATATAAATTTAAAAATAAAATAATTGTTTTTATTTTATAAAAATTTAAAAAAATATAAAAATTAATAAAAATATATAATTTTGATTGATTCGATTTCTGTTTTTTTACTTTTTATTTCTCAATTCAAATATAATTTATATTTAATATTTAAGTTTAATTTGAACTAAATAAAAAATGATTTAAATTGAATCAAATATTATAATTTTATATTTAATTTTTAATTTAAAATTTTTTTTCACTCTTAATTCCCTACCATTGCATTAATTAAATTGCAAAGATATTTTTATATAGATAAAACCACAAAAATTCACGAATATTCAAATTTAAAATTTAAAATATTGAATATTATTTATGATTACTTATTAAATCTCATATTTAAATTGCAATGATTCCTAAAATTTAATAAAAGGTCCCATTTAAAAATTAAAAATCTGCCCCATCAAGTTATAATGTCTCTTGCTTTGGATTTCTTATTTGATTTTGATCCTTAACTTAACAAAGAAACTTCCTAAAAATTAGCCATAAAAGCAAAAGAGAAATGCTATTAGTCCTTTTTTTTTTTCTTTTTATGGAACGAAATTATTATTATTCCTAATAAAACCTACAACCGACCAACATATCCCATGGCATCAAACAGTCCTCGTTTCTTCAAATTCTGACGTGGCACTATCAGGATGGCTTAAAAACCCAAAAACATAAAAACAAATTCCAGAAAATTAATAAAATAAACCCAATAAGGAAGAATTTTCACGTTTTT